CATCACTTCTTTTTGTCTCCCATCACTCCTCTTTATCTCTCATCACTCCTCTTCGTCTCCCATCACTTCTTTTCGTCTCCCATCACACCTTTTCATCTCTCATCATTTCCTATTTCTCCTTTTTGTTTCCTATCACTTCTCATTACTCTTTTTTAATCCCTTTCATCTTCTATTACTTTCCATTACTCCATTGTTATAATAATTTTTCTCTTCCCCACTTTCTTTATCCTCATTTCATATTCTTTTTTCTCATTTTTATTTCCTTCACAAGTTTGGAACCATGAAAGCGAGAGATTGTGCGACATATGAATGATGATGCATTTACATATTGTAGTATATATGTTGTGCGATTTTCGTCAGGCCTAGTAATGCTGGCCAACCCACTTAAGGCATTATAATATTGGGCAATATTGGGCTGGTAATGTAGGCCGGCGTCATCTGACGCAAATCGGAATCTGACGCACAATATATTTATTGCAGTTCATCGATTTTAATTATTAATACTATAAATATTTTATAAATTTTTTAAATAATAATATATTAAATTCTTTTTAAACAGTAATAATAAAGTAATAGGAATAAAATATAATTACTTTAATTTTAATAGTAATAGAATCATTAACTATTATTCATAAGAATATTGATTTATATGTAAAACGTAACTTCTGGAAAACTCCGTGAATATGATACATTTACGGGAAAATAACTTGAGCAACTTGGATTATTTTCAATGTTTGAGACTATAAATTCCGTAAATATGATACATTTACGGAAATAACAAGGAATAAATAAAAAACACGGAATAAATTTTTATAGGGGTAATAAATTGTCTAGTAAATTATTATATATTTAGATTACCCTGTATAAGTTAATTTTGAGTTGTATTACTGTAACGTGTAGCATGCCTCCGTAATTTATTACGGATTGTCATCTTAAAATAGATTGGGTTTAACCATTAATAAATGTTGATCATGTTGATCATGAAACAATAGGAATGTCTCATGTTATAATGATGTTCTTAACAATATATTTTTTATGCTGTGTTACCGCTTCTCTATCATTGTTTTACGCTAAATTAAGGCAAACTTTTATGCAATACTGCTCTGTCTCATCATACATATGGTAATGGTTTTATATAATATATGAGGAATAATTCATTTGTTTATTGCGTCATTTTGTATCCAGTAATCATAGAAAGATAAAACATAGCAGAGTGATAGAAAAAGAGTAATAATACATGTCAAAAATTGTCAGCCTTTCTGCCAGTAGTGATATCATAATTTTATCACTAAATTTAATAAATTTGAAGAATTTAATATTTTGTTCATTATATAGCTTGTCTCCAGAATATTATTTGTGTGCATAATAATTTACTATATGTTTCAAGTTCATTGATCTCAGTGTGAAGCAAATGGGCTGTTGCTAGTATGTATTAAAAAAATAAAAATTAATTATGTATCTAATTGTATTGATCCTAAATTTAAATTTTGATGAATGATGAGGCAAATTATTATCATTTTCATACAATTATATTCATCATAAATTAGGCATGTAACAGACGTTTCACTAGTAACTCCTTTGATACTAAATGCATGTTATGCATATATATCAAACACTTGTTTTTGTTGGACAATATTTTTAGTGTCAGAAATTTTTCAGCCATTATATTTGTTGCACGTTTTTTTACACGTGTATAAAACAATGCAGATCAGTTTTTGAAATACAAATTTGGTAGTATAATTAATATATTTTTTTTGAAACACATTTTAAACGTTTGATTAAAGAAAAGTTATTAATAGTAATTGATAAATAAATCAAGATTACAATGACAAATAACATATATAAATGTTCTGTAATCCCTCTGAGTAAAAATTTAAAATTTTTCAAATCTCTAAATTTATTTCCATATTTTTCACACACATTTTCCCACATAGTCTCTAATAATCAAGTCTCTTAATTTATTTCCACATTTTTTACACACATTTTCCCACCAAGTCTCTAATAAAAATGTTAAAAATGTTCAATTTGGCAAAGATGTTGACCATCTTTATATATTTAACCTCTATCTGTTGCTTTTTTGTCACATCTCAAAATGTATTATCTCGAGATATATTACCTCAAAATGTATCATCTCTAAATACACCACCCCAAGACACATCACCTCAGGATATATGGTACATTTATGAAGAACCGATAGAAGGTCTAAAACTATATGACACTCGCACACTTAAAGATGGTACTTTAATGATTTGGATGGCCTTTTATGATGAAGAAGATCCATCATGCATGTTATCACCTTATTTTTATCTACGATTGATAGAAAGAACAGGACGAATTACATACATAAATCTTAATTACACCTTTACCCCAGAAGTAATTTGCCCCATTAATATGACTTTTATACCCTTAAGTTATAATTATATAATGATAATTTATGTTAAATCAGACAATGGTGTTAAGGGAAAGTATGGATTGATAATTAACTATGACAGTGAGATTATAAGGTAAGTTAAGATGTTGTTATATCCTCATTTATAAAGATCAATAATAATTTTTTTTTTTAGTGAAATCTACTTAGGGAATGTTAATGACTATATTATAGAAAGTGGAAGATTAGAAAAAGGTTTTATTCGTATTGAGGAAAATGACAAAAAAGGAATAGTAGCATGGAATTGGCTTAGTACCCTGTAAGTATTAAGTATTTTACAAGTAAATACTTTTTAAGTATTTCATTGTTCAGTTGATTAACTTTTTCATTTTTGCTTTAGAACAACAGGAAAAGTGGTGGAACTTGGAAGTGGCGAGTTTAGTGTACCAAACCTATTATCATATACTTTTGTAAATAGTTTTAATTTTGATTTAATTGATGGAGGGATTGGATATGCATATATTCTAAAATATGATGAAATGGGATCATCAGTAACAAATGATCCAAATATTCAATACTGGAAAATTTATGTTTCATTTTTAAGAGAGGGAACATATTCACCTACAACACCTTCTCTTGTCTACCAAACTACTACAAAATTAAATAGTTTAGCATTTAAATCATGTTTTTAAAATATTGCAGGATATATATGTATTGTATCATTAAACAATACAATTATAAATAAGGATCAATCAAGAACTGAAGTGAATTATTATCAGTTAGAATTTTTAACAACTGGGTCCTTTGTACAATTTGGTATGGTCCCTAAAGAAATAAGTAATGCAGAAGATTTTGATTTGTCAAGTTTAGTTTATGGAGGATTTCTTGTGAGAAAACAATATACAAATACAACTGCATTGAACTTTTATATTTTAGATAATAATGGAAATTATAAATCAAAGGTCTCTTTTGGCCCAGAGTTTTTTCATTATAATATGTTCAGAAGAAATGGTACTTTAGTGGGAATAAAGAAACAAACTGGTAATAAATTGGAAATTTTATTGAAACCTTTACTAAGACTAAATAATCAAGGTAAATTTTAATTTATTTTTACTTTAATTTTATTTTTTTTTAATAAAAAAATTTTTTGATTTATAGGAGCTGAATATGATAATCCTGCAATTGAGTCAACAAAGCCAGCTATCAATGAAGTTATTGATCCTTTAATCAATGAAATTACAATTAAATATGGCATTCCAGTAAGGTTATCTACTGCAAATGTTTCCATATTTCAACTAAATGATGACCCATACAAACCAAGTTTATTACGGCAAACAATTGCAGGAGATTCTAAACTATGTACTATTGGAAGCGATAACCACACTGTGCATATTCCAATTTTCGGTAGTACATTTAATCAGCCAAACTCGTCATATCATGTGGTAGTTGATAATAATTTTGTCATTTCTCAAGAGAGAAATGAACCTTTATTAGGAATTAATGAAAAAACTTGGATAATTTCAACAAGTAATATACATTTTTTTTTAATTTTAATTTTTCAATTTTTTACTGGTCAAATAGAAAAATTTATATTTCTTTATTATATTTAGAACCATTTAAGACCGGTCAACATTCAGTTTCAGTCACAGGGTTACTTCGATTGAATGAAGAAGGGAGTTCAAAATTTCTTCAAACAAATCATCAGTTGGAGTTTTTCAATAATGTAATTCAAGAATTTTCCAAAATAATTCCGGTAGATGAACAAAGGATAACTACAAATGGTAAATGGCAAAATGACCCCACTTTCCCCAAAAAAGTGTTGTTGTCATTTACTATTAATGAAGCTAAAAGTGCCATGGAACCAAGTTCCAAAACAATCTTTGATAATTTGGGCACTTTGATTGAAAGAAAAAGGTTTACTGCACTTTCTAATTATGAATATTCTTCATTAATCGATGAAAGTGCATCCTTTACAATAACCAGTAAGTGTTGTTCATTAAATATTTTTGATATTTGTAAATAATTAATATTTCATTAAATTTATTAAATTTTTAATTCTATTATTTTACAGGTTATTTTGGAAAATTTTTGCCACTAATTATAATATTTTTAGTAAGTATGATAATATTAATAATATTATATTTTTTGGCACGTTGGAAGAACCCTGAAGCTAGAAACATTGCCATATTTGAGACTGCATTAATAATGCAGGATTTTGCTGTGGATTTAACATTTGCATTATTAAGGGTTCATAATACTCCACACCTAATAATCCCAAAGTAAGAAATTTTGTTTAATGTTATGTTATTTTAATTATTTTAAAGATTAATTTAATTAATTAATAATTTTCTTATTTATTATTAATTAGTATGGTATTCCTTGTTGTACCGCATGTAGTCAGTTTATTATTGGCTATAAATATTCTTTTGTCTGAAGTAGCTAAGAATCCAACATTCCATACTTGGTTTTCAGAGCTTCCAACACTATTATCAATTTGTACAATATTTTCAGCCATTGATATACTAGCAATAAATACTTTGACATCAAATTTATTTGGTCTCAAAATATTTTCAGCCCCATTATCACAAAGATCAAGAGATATTATACTTTGGGGTAGTTTCATAAATATTTTTGCTGAAGATATACCACAGTTGATTATACAGATATTATACTTTAATAGTGTTGTGACATACGATTTTATTCCATCACTTGTAATTATATCTGGTGGATTAGTTATAATGAATAAACTAATTTTAAGATCGTATCAGGCATTAATAAGATGGAGTCATCGGCGTGATGAAATTAGAAACTTTATTAGAGATAGACGTTTATCAGCTGGTTCTATAAGATCATTAAGGTCAAATATTTAGCATTCTACTACAGATTTTTATTTGTAAATTATGATATTTTTACCATCAATTTAATAAAAATATAATCCTTCAGACTGTGCCATAAAAATGTATTATGTATTTATTTATTTATTTTTTTTCAGCTTTATTTAAATTCTAAATAGTACGATTTTTTGGTAAAAAAAAACAAGTTTATCTTTTTTTATTGTTTCTGTATTGTTAAAGCAATTCTTTTTTAATTTAACAAGATTAATAAATAACTGAAATATATATAATCAATTGATTAGAATATAACAAATATATCAATATAACATAATTTTCTAAGCTTTATTAATAATTATATTTTAATTAAAATGAGTTCAAAGAAATTCATCGCTATTAATTTTCCCTACACAATTTGAAACCTCGGAAAGGTGTGATGCCTAACCGTCACCGTTCAGTTCACGTGACTGCCGCGTTCGCGTTGTTTATATTTATCTCAGCGACTTAGAATTGGTGGAATTGGTGGTGTGGTAAGATGATCCCGTTTAACGTTGCACAGAACCATAATATAAGGTTGACCATTTACAAATTTGGCTGAATTTTTTTCTCAATTCTTTTGTTTACGTTATAACTTAAAAAAATATAAAAAATGGAGGATGATAAACTTTTACCAATTTTATCACAAGAATTACTCAAAATTTTAAATGATGAAGAATATTATGATGTCGCCATTGAAGTTGGTAATGACCCTTATGTAAAAGTTTTTCGTGCTCATATGGTTATTTTACATTATCGTTCTCCCTATTTGCGAAGAATTTTGTCAACTAATAAAAAAAAAAATGATGGAACTTTGACACATATCAAATTATCAAATATTTCTCCTGAAATTTTTCAAATAATTTTAAGGTAATAAAGAATCAAGTATAAACAAAACCCAATTTAATATTTATTTCTAATTTCACAATTTTTTTTTTTAATTTAGGTATATTTATGGCGGAAAGCTTTCTTTAAATGAGTATGATAATTCAGATATAATTAAAGTCTTAGTTGCTGCTAATGAACTTAGTCTTCAAGAATTTGTCACATATTTACAATTCTTTTTGATCAAAAATAAAACAAGTTGGATGGAGAAAAATTTTAATTTCGTTTATCAAACAAGCTTCGAAAATAACTCATTATCAGAACTTCAAAATTATTGTATTGATTTAATATCTAAGGAGCCGGATAAAATATTCAAATCGCCCGATTTCTCTTCAATTCCGGAAAAACTTTTGATTTCAATTATTCAAAATGACAATCCTCAAACGAGCGAAGTTCAAATTTGGGAACATGTACTTAAATGGGGATTTGCTCAAAATCCTGAACTTCCTTCCGAAATCACAAACTTTTCAAAAGATGATTTTAATACTTTAAAGAATACCTTGCAACAATGTATTCCTTTTATTAAATTTTACAACTTAACTTCTAAAGAATTTGTTGACAAAGTATTTCCTTATAGAGAAATTCTTCCCGGAGAATTATGTGCAGATTTATTAAAAACTTATTTAACTCTTTCTAATCCTGATAGTAAACCAACCAATAAACAAAAACCTCATATAACTAATGAAATCAAATTAAGAGCTGTTGATTCAAAAATTATTACATCTCAACATGCTGAATTAATCTCAAAATGGATTGATAGATTAAATATCATCGACAAGTTAATAATTTCTTCATACGAATTCAAATTATTATTTCGTGCATCTCGTGATGGGCATTCACGAGATAAATTTCATGAAATTTGTGATAACCATACACGCACGGTAACAATTGTTAAAGTGAAGAGTAGTAGTGAAATTCTTGGAGGATATAATTCAACTGAATGGAAATCAGATGCAAGTTTCGGCGCTACTAGAGACAGTTTTATATTTTCTTTTATCAATGATAGAATTGATAATCATATTTTAAGTCGTGTAACGAATGCAAATAAAGCTATATTAAATAATCCTTATGTCGGTCCATCATTTGATATAGATCTTCGTATATGGAACTTTTTCTTTGGTAATAGTTGTACCAAATCTTCTTATGAAAAGCCAATTAGAAAAACTACTAGTAGTTTTGATGTAGAAGAATGTGAAATATTTCAATTTGTTCGTGATTGATATTTAACTATACTCTTCTATCATTCTTACTGAGATGCATTTATGAAGACATAGTAAATATTAAAATAATTCAAATAAAATAGTTCCATTAAAATTAGAAATTAACTATTTTACTATAAAAAATTATTATTCAAAAATGAAAAATTCATCAAAATAAAAACAGATGTTGGCAATAAAATAGATACTGTTTTTCTTAATATTATAAAAAGTTTTAAATTGATCCCAAATAAATAAATTGATTTTTATTGGTTTATTTACGCATTATACAAATATTCTATTGTTTACGGGTAACTACTGTAAACAAATCTTTCTTTAAATTATTTGTAATGTAGTATTTCCGGAGGGTATTTATAACCCATGTCATTCCTTTCTTCCTTCCGCTTACGCCATAATTCCCATTTTGAATTAAACTACCCCTGCTTATTTCCTTTTATATTTGTATCACTTTTTTTTGTATTACAATTTTTTATAATAAATTGTAACACGTGATTATAATTATTGATCTATTAAAAACATATTTTACAAAAAGAGAAGTATTTAATCAAATTTAATTTCCAGAGAAATTCATACCTCATTTAAAAATTCATCTGTGAATTTCAAAGCAACTTTTGTAACTGATGTTCTTACCAATTCTTTTTTAACCAAATAATCATAACTTAATGGACCATGCTGATGTTACCACAGGATTTATGCAGATCAGAAAGGTAGTAACGAGAAAATAAATAGGGAATTTATAAGGAATCGGCAATAAAAAGGTACACGATAGGAAGATAAATGGAGAATTTAGAAATCAGAAAACTGTCGGTAGGATTTTTATTAACTATCGGCAAGGATTCTAGCAATATTAGTACTAACTCTTTCGGCGCTCTGTAATATTCGGTAGATCCTTCTTTTACAAATACTAATGCTAGACTATTCAGAAAATAGACCAAAATCCTGCCTTTCCAGCACTTCCCCACTAGTCCCTTATATACTTTCCCAAAATTCGGCACAATTTGTCCAAAGTTCAACTTGTCCTTTGGCCAATTTGCTAATATATGAATTGTCTTCCGTCTAACTAAAGTTATCAATCGGCCAAATTGTCCCGAATCCACATTTCGTCCCACATTATTACCCAAACCTAAGCCTCCCAATTCCTGTTTATCTGTTTATACCAAAAACAACTAACAATATAAACTATATGTAAATTACTCAATATAATAAAATTATTCATTTAATCAATAAACTATCTAAATATACATTAAAAAGAAAAATCTATAAAATCTATAAATGCGTGCGTGTGATATCATAACACAGAATATATGGTAACAAATCCACCATTATCTATTTCTGTAATATCTTCAAACTGATCGTATAAATATTCAGTTATATCGTTGTAAGAATTATTTTTGACTGCATTTCTTGAACTAAATTATTAATTTTTTCGATCCCACATTCCCACTAGTAAAATTTTTAAATAATTTATTAAACATGGTTTACACCATTTATAACTTTCATCAGATTGATTTATATATTGACCGCCAGTCCATGATATTGAAAACAATGATATATTCTTTGTACTGTATCTGGATTTTGAGTTATGAAAAAAAATTATTATATTTTATATTAGAAAAAAAAGTGTTAAACATACCTCGTTTAGTAATATTTTGTGAATTATATGGACATTTTAAAGTAATTTGTTTATTTGAGATCCTCGTCCATTTCTCTTCTCAGTAATCATAACATCGTTCCATAATATTGCTAAATACATCGTAGCGGATTGATCATATGTTATTCATCAAATATATTATCTCTGTAGTGATGGATTAAATCATCAATTATTTTGTTCTCACTTGTCCAATTTAAATAGAATTTTTTTAAGGTAACCTATTTGACATGATTTACACCATTTTTTATACACATATTTTTCACCACAATTTTCACAATATGATATTTGTCTTGGAGAACCATGATATAATCTTTTATATTTGGATTTTGAGATATTCCATTTACTTCAGAATCTTTACGTACTGTACTATTATAAAAAAGAAAAATTATAGCACTTATTATTATGTACTATAATACGAAAATTATCCCTAATTAAATTCAAAAATCTCATACCTCATTTAGAAGAGATTCATTGGTAAATATTTTGCGAATTATATAAACATTTTAAAGTAACTTTTTTATTCTGACCTTCTTGTATATACAAGTTCAATACCATCCTTCCATATTGCTGTAGCAAAACCCCATTTCTTTCGTCAAACTGATTATATGGTATCCATTCAAATATTATATCAAGTATAATTATTTATTTCAATTGAATTTCTTGCAAAAAAATTGATAAATCATTTGCGCTACATGGTTTACACAATTTATTTACATAGTATCCATCCAGATACTAGTATTTATATAAAAATTATTAGTCGTAAAAAAGATGCTATTTCGATTAAATTGACCCATATTTAATGTTTGAAATCAAAAATCATCTGATTAAAATTTCTGTACTTCTTTCAGACGGGAACCTGTGACTCCAAATCCTATTTACCATTTTTTATATTATATTTCCATCAAATTCAATATTCAGATACACGTTGTTTTATAATGTGACCTAGACTACGAATTTTATTTGGAACATTACTCGGATTTATAAAATTATAATTTCATGAGCGACACGCACAGCAAAAATGAAAATAAAGTGATATGCTACGAGATTTTATTTGTATTATACCCGACTTTACAAAAGAAATTAATACTAATATGTTTATTAGAAAGTTTATGCTGATTAACGTAAATATTATATGACTCAAAATTGTATCCTTTTTTTAATATTTATATATTTGCATGTAATTTTTTTTTTCGAAAATTTTAGATATCTGCGGATTAAGAATATTATTATTTTTGGCCGAATTTGGTATCAGAAGTAGTATTTTTCATGTATTACATAAATTACCTATATATTGATCTGACCATAACCTTTCCTAGAATCTAATTTAATATCATTACCAACTATTACATTGTCTATTTCATTTTTTTGATCATTTTCTAAAACTTCATTCCTTATCTGCCACTCCGTACTTATGTTTTTCGTATTGATTCCATGATTCAACATCTATATGAAATCTTGCGCATTTATTAGATTTAATACTCTTCTTTTATATAACTCGGTAGTGTTTTAAGGAAATTTTTAATTCTAAAAGCTCGTATTTTTGTATCTAAATCGCTCGTTATATATTTATTAGATTCCATTCTTAATTAGTTTAAATGTAAACGTCCATCAAGATATTCTTCATATAACTCTGCTTCCATTTGAATCTTATAATCTTCATCCCTATATATTTAGATGACGTTAAAAAAAAACACCTGTAATTTTTTCTCTTCTATCAATTTCTTCGAAAATTTTAATAACGCGTAATTTTTGTCTTTTCTAGAGCTAGATTCTTTAAAAAAAAATTCAAATGAATTTATCATTAATTAATATATTCACTGTATTATCATTCAGAATAATAATTAAACTAAAAATCAACGCTATTATTATAATTATCGCTTTTAAACTTTTGAGTTATACAAAATATTTTCCATTATTAGTTATAAACTTAATCTCGTTATAAAAGAAAGACTTAAGACAATTATCCGAAAAAGGCTCCCTTTTAACTAAACTAAAATCAATTATTAAGAAATCTGAAATTATAATTTGATTCTCTAGAAGCTTGTTTAAAATTTTCTCAAAATATTCATACGGTTTTATTTTACTCGTATTTCCATCTTTAACCTTTTCTTTTCCCACCTTAATATTTCTTGATGACTGATCTAATGGTAAATAAATTAAACAATCATTTTCATTTTTCGTCCCTGATATAAGAAAGTTCGGCTTAGGACGTGATTAGGGATGGCAACGGTCACGGTCATTAACCGATTATGACCGGTCATGACCGTGACCGATATCGGTCGGTCAAGACTTCTGACCGACCGTTTGACTGACCGTTTGACCNTCGTTGTCTATTGATGTTTTATTAACTTATTTTATTAAAAAACAAGATAACCAATTTTCTATCTGACAAATTGCGCTGATGATTCATCGGATCCTAATATTCGATCTTGTCATTCGCCCAAACTTGGATCAATACAATATCTGATTCTATTAGAGAAAGTTTCCAACTTTAATTTATTTTATAAAAATAAATATAATGAATACATTGGAACTATGCGGTTAATCATATTATATCTGTCTCTTATACACATCTAGATGTGTATAAGAGACAGAATAAAAACACTGCGAAAATATAAAAAAAAATGATCGGTCAAACTGTCGGTCAAACGGTCGGTCGGTCGGTCAAAGGTTCTTGACCGGTTATGACCGACCGATGACCGACCATGACCGACCGTTGCCATCCCTAGTTATTGGAGAGATATTAAACTCAAGAAATATGTCTATTTTACTTTATGGCGAAGGATGCAACAGAAATATTGGTAAAAAGGTTGAAAGTAAGGAATGTTTAATATATATAGCAAATGAAGCAAGTAGGATTATTAAGAAAAGGAATGAAGAAGGTCGGATAAAACCATATGAGTCAATGAGAAATATAAAAATGAAAATGAAGTATATGTGAAAGAGGAAGAAAAAGATATGAATTATAATAAAGATCAAGATTTTATCGATATATTAAAAAATAGTATAATGGAAACGGATGAAAGAGATAAGAGGAAAAGGCAAGCGTACTTAATAAATAATAGAGTGTGTTAAGGGGAAAATAAAAGTATCGAAAAAGGATATAAATATATAGAATATTTGGTGAGTTGGGTATTAAGGGATAGAGATTTTAATGAGAAAAGCGAGATAAGGATAAATGCGAAATTTAATGATACGAAAGATCATGATGAATTTAAAATTTTAATAAGATGTATAATAATTGGAATGATTTAATAGAAAAAGGGAGTGATATTCTTTTAGGAATTGATGAGAAAGTCAGAAGATGTTTAGAAAATTTTATGAAAAATCTTAGTAATAGAAAAAGGATAGATGAAGAGTATTTTATAGAAATGTTGGTGATTGAAAAATTTTTGAAGGAAGAAAGATATGAAATTAGATATTCTTGGACATTCAGAATTGGAAGATATAGAGAAGAGAAGGGAAGAAATTAGAAAATTTTTAGAACTAATGAAGAAAGAAAATTTTGAAACATATTGAAATAGATGTTATAGATGAAGAACGATCAACGAATTCAATTTATATTGGAAATATGCATTGATAACTGGTGATTTAAGAGGATGGCGTAAGAAGTGTACGCAAGCTATTTGGAAAAATGAACTTCTCAATAGTCGAAAGATAGAAGATCTGTTTTATTTTAATTTTAAAAATGAATTCGATTGGGTTAAGACGCTTAATTTTATTAGTAATAAAAATAAATTTACTTTTTGGCAGTGTAACGATCATGAAGATACAAAGGAGAGATCATACAGAATTAAAAACTTTTTAAAAGAATTACCAACTTATGGAGTTTTATATTAGTGTAATAGCAAATGAAATGTGTCCAAGATGCAATAATGAGATCGAAGATTGTACCATGATGTTTGGAAGTGCGAAAGAAATAAAGTTAGCTTAGAAGAAATATTATATGAAGCAATAGCTAAGTATGAAGAAATATTAATATCAGATGGTAAAAAAGAAGAAGTGGAAATATTACGAGATATTAATATAAATTTTTATGAAATAATGTTAACCCAATCAGATATTTTATTAGAATAATAGAATATGGGAGATGTATATAATAGAAAGTTTGATGAGATATCGAAGAAAAAAGAATACAAGAATTTGATAGAACATTTGTGGAGCTTTTGTTATGATAAAGATAAATATAGAAAGAGAATTTGGGTTAAACGATGTGATGATGTGGCGGAGATAGAGAAAGATAGAGGTTTAGATTGTAAAGATAAAAGAAAAAGGAAAAAAGAATAGAGGAGGGCGATAGTGTTTATAATAAAAAATTAAGAAAAATTGAAAAACAAATGAAATAGTTTAAACGAAAAAAATATACGAGAAATAGTTTATTAGATGATGTAAAGAATGGTAAATCACTAGTAAATCTTTTAAGAACACTTGGGGAACGAAGGCTAAAGTATATACTGGTTTTATTTTATAATTTAGTTTTATTATGATTGATTATATAGTTACATATTTAGATAATATTTAGATAGATCGGTTAGTTATAGAGGATTTTTTTATTAGCATCTTTTTCCTTGATCATTGTAATTTACTTATCTTTTTTATTTATTGTTATTGTTTCTTTTATTTGTACACTTCAATAAAAATAAATATGGTGGTTTTTTTCTTTAAAATCGTAAATGTGTGACTTAAATTTTAATATTTGCAAATAAAATTTCATTAAATAAGATTATTTTGAATAAATATATTTGCAAAATTTTTTTTTTAAAAAATATCTTTTGCAATAATAACCGATCAAAAATTAGATACATGACATATTTGAAAAAAAAACCCAGGCGATGAATCACCCAGGCGACGTTTAGCAATCCCCAATTTTTATTTATATATTAAAAGTATTTAAAATAGTAGATTTCAAAAAATGTTTTTATGCCAATTATTTTAATATTATTAATGATAAAAAGAAAAAACACTTCAAACAAATTTCTGCTATATACTTTTTTTAATTTTTTTCCTTTTACAAAAAAATTAGGAATTAGAAATATCAACAAGTATTAACGGATATTAAGATTCTGAATTTTCTATGAATTTACATATTTGTGAAATGTTACTAGAACAAGTCACATAAGTCACAGTATTAAGAGAATAATTTTTCTCTTCCCCACTTTCTTTATCCTCATTTCATATTTTTTTTTCTCATTTTCATTTCCTTCACAAGTTTGGAACCATGAAAGTGAGAGATTGTGCGACATATGGATGATGATGCATTTACATATTGTAGTATATATGTTGTGCGATTTGCGTCTGGCCTAGTAATGCTGGCCAACCCACTTAAGGCATTATAATATTGGGCAATATTGACGCACAATATATTTATTGCGATTTTAGTTATTAATACTATAAATATTTTATAAATTTTTTAAATAATAATATATTAAACTCTTTTTAGACAGTAATAATAAAGTAATAGGAATAAAATATAATTACTTTAATTTTAATAGTAATAGAATCATTAACTATTATTCATAAGAACATTGATTTATATGTAAAACGTAATTTCTGGAAAACTCCGTGAATATGATACATTTACGGGAAAATAACTTGAGCAACTTGGATTATTTTCAATGTTTGAGACTATAAATTCCGTGAATATGATACATTTACGGAAATAACAAGGAATAAATAAAAAACACGGAATAAATTTTTATAGGGGTAATAAATTGTCTAGTAAATTATTATATATTTAGATTACCCTGTATAAGTTAATTTTGAGTTGTATTACTGTAACGTGTAGCATGCCTCCGTAATTTATTACGGATTGTCATCTTAAAATAGATTGGGTTTAACCATTAATAAATGTTGATCATGTTGATCATGAAACAATAGGAATGTCTCATGTTATAATGATGTTCTTAACAATATATTTTTTATGCTGTGTTACCGCTTCTCTATCATTGTTTTACGCTAAATTAAGGCAAACTTTTATGCAATACTGCTCTGTCTCATCATACATATGGTAATGGTTTTATATAATATATGAGGAATAATTCATTTGTTTATTGCGTCATTTTGTATCCAGTAATCATAGAAAGATAAAACATAGCAGAGTGATAGAAAAAGAGTAATAATACATGTCAAAAATTGTCAGCCTTTCTGCCAGTAGTGATATCATAATTTTATCACTAAATTTAATAAATTTGAAGAATTTAATATTTTGTTCATTATATAGCTTGTCTCCAGAATATTATTTGTGTGCATAATAATTTACTATATGTTTCAAGTTCATTGATCTCAGTGTGAAGCAAATGGGCTGTTGCTAGTATGTATTAAAAAAATAAAAATTAATTACGTATCTAATTGTATTGATCCTAAATTTAAATTTGATAAATGATGAGGCAAATTATTATCATTTTCATACAATTATATTCATCATAAATTAGGCATGTAACAAACGTTTCACTAGTAACTCCTTTGATACTAAACTCATGTTGTGCATATATACCATATATACCAAACACTTGTTTTTGTTGGACAATATTTTTAGTGTCAGAAATTTTTCAGCCATTATATTTGTTGCACGTTTTTTTACACATGTGTATGAAACAATGCAGATCAGTTTTTGAAATACAAATTTGGTAGTATAATTAATATATTTTTTTTGAAACACATTTTAAACGTTTGATTAAAGAAAAGTTATTAATAGTAATTGATAATAAATCAAGATTACAATGACAAATAACATATATAAATGTTCTGTAATTCCTCTGAGTAAAAATTTAAAATTTTTCAAGTCTCTAAATTTGTTTCCATATTTCACACACATTTTCCCACCAAGTCTCTAATAATCAAGTCTTTTAATTTATTTCCACATTTTTCACACACATTTTCCTACCAAGTCTCTAATAAAAATGTTAAAGATGTTGATCATCTTTATATATTCAACCTCCATCTGTTGCTTTTTTGCCACATCTCAAAATGTATTATCTCGAGATATTTTATCTCAAAATGTATCATCTCCAAATACATTACCCCAATATACATCACCTCAAGATATATGGTACATTTATAAAGAGCCTATAGAAGGTCTAAAACTACGTGACACTCTAACACTTAAAGATGGTACTTTGATGATTTGGATGACCCTTGATGATGTTGAAGATCCATCATGCATATTACCTTATTTTTATCTACGATTGATAAAAAGAACAGGCCGAATTACATACATAAATCTTAATTACACCTTTCCTCTAGAAGCAGTTTGCCCCATTGATATGACTTTTATACCCTTAAGTTATAATTATATAATGGTAATTTATGTTAAATTAAACAATGGTGTTACGGGAAAGTATGGCTTGATAATTAATTATGACAGCGAGATAATAAGGTAAGTTTAGATGTTGTTATATTCTCATTTATAAAGATCAATAATAATTTATTTATTTTTTTAGTGAAATCTACTTAGGAAATGTTAATGATGATATTATAATTAGTGGAAGATTAGAAAAAAGTTTTATTTGTATTGAAGAACATGCACAGGTCGAAGTAGGCCCATGTACTACAAATTTCTAATTGTGAAACTTCATTCACATGGCCCATTTCTCATAGATTTATAAATTTTGGAAATTCTTGGAAATTTGTCCCGTTTCCATTAAGTTTCCACCCTATTTTTGATAATAGAAACTTCATTTATATGTTGTTTATATTTATATCACACTGAAAATATTTTTTTTCAAATATATTCACATTAAACTATAATCAAATTTTTTTATTTCATGTTATTTTAAGTGCATTTTTATGATACTAAAGTTATACTTTTATTATATTAACGTTGTATTTTTATTACATTTAATACATTATCATTATATTTCTATTATATTAAAGCCATAATAAGCAATGATATATTATAATTCACATCATTATTGTCTTAATAAATGCAATATAAAGTTAAAAATCTTGATTTTAATAACGATAATAATTAATTAAAATCTTTTTTTTTTAATTGAAACATACCATCATCCAAAGATTCCATATATCAAAACCTTCAAAAAATAATGTTACCATCTCCAAGTTCTAAGCATCCGAAGCTAAAACTTGCAAAAAAAGAAAAAAGGAACATCAGCTAACAATTCTTTAAAAAATAAAGATAATTTTACATTAAAAAGACAAAAAAAAGTTAAGATAAACCCTAAAAAAGAAAGAGTTAGTAAATTTTTGAAGCACATACCGAAACATATTTCCTGTATGAAATAGGACCTTGCAAAGATAAAAGAAAGTTAGTAGATATTTAAAATAAAGACCTCCCTCCCTTACTTACCAGAGATTTGCTAAAAGACACCTCTTAAAAAGAAAAAAAGGAACGAGGTTAATGTTGCTTCTTAAAGTAAATGTGGAGTAAGAACCTTTACCAAAAAGTCCAGGGAAAACTTTCTAAAAAGGAAAACCTAAGCTCCGACCTCTTGCGTAATAAAATAAAAAAAAAAAAAAAAAAAGTCATGTGACTGATCGAATTAAATATAAGTGATTACGTTAATTGTAATTATTTGAAATTTAATAATTTAATAATAATTTACTATAATTTAATGTTAATTTACTTGAAATTTAACTGAAATTTATTGATGATTTGCATATAAAAATTTAATATTAGTTTACTAGAAGTTTAGATGAAATTTAATGATAATTTAATTGAGATTTAATAATGTAAATTTATAAACTAAGTTTCCACACATGATTTATCTTGTACATTTCGTCATTTCCAGCTGTAAATTAAATTTAACTGAATTTCACAATCACACGTTGAACTTGTTAAAAATGAACAAGTGTGTTGGCAATTTCCAGGTTATAAACTTCGTGTACATCACATCACTTCGACCAGTGAATACCATCCTTCCATATTGCTGTAGCAAAACCCCATTTCTTTCGTCAAACTGATTATATGGTATCCATTCAAATATTATATCAGTATAATTATTTATTTTCAATTGAATTTCTTGAATCCAATTTGCAAAAAAAATTTTAAATCATTTGCGCTACATGGTTTACACCATTTATTTACATAGTATCCATCCAGATAAGCTTCGCCACATTCTTTACATTTTCCAAAATCGTCTTGAGATTATCCTAAAGAAACAAACGCCAAATGAATAGTAAATGAATACTTTCATAATATTCATAATAATTGAGATTATAATATTTCTACATTACTATCAAGTTTTATTGAAATTCTCATTCTATAATGAGGTAAGAAAAAATAAATTAAGAACTCATACTGACCTGTTTGAGTAACCAAGTCTATTGTAAAATATAGCATTATAACTCGTACTATAAACAACCTAGCTTGTTTTAAACCTAATCTATATTGAAATTAATATTTTTCGTTAACATCATAAATTGCAATGCTTTTTTTTTTAATTCATACATAATTACTAGGAAACAGGAACTGCTGGAGCATCCGAAGCATTATAATCATGATCAATTACTTATCACAAAAAATTGAAATTGTCTACAAAAAATATGTATTACTAAAGTTAAAAATAATGTATTGCTAAAAATTGTATAGTTAAAAGATGCATCACTAAAGTTATAGATAAAAATACTTTAATATAATTTATAATTCGTTACAATATTAATGCATAACATTTATATTTTGTTTCTACATAAGCGTTACGCCTGATTTTAAATCTCATTGGGCCATAATTTATTATTTTTGTTACTATGTTATTACATTATTATTATTTCTATGTAATTGTTTCATAAAATTTTATTGACCATACATATGGCGTGACGGACAGACATTGCATGCTTTTTTGAGTGGAATGGAAAAGTCCTTCGCTAACGCTTTGGACAATATATAAACTTAGGAACAGGAAATAATATAGTACAACAGCATAAGCAAATTCATACGATTACATTTCATTATAATGATTTAATAATTGTTCATTAACTCGCCAATTAATTCGTTTATTTTTGCATGCAAGGCATCCTACGATTTCTGTAAAATTAAATTTAAACGCTTATAATATACCAAACTCAGTTGATTATATTTTTACTCCAAATTAAATTTCTGTTATTGTAGTAGCCTATTTTCAAAGATTATTGATAAAAAAAAAATATTTGCGTAATCATGTGATAAGGTTAAATAAAAAGCAATCGTCCATAAATTTCATATTTTGAAAAAAAATATCAATTGACAATTTGATATTTCCTATCGTTTACATTAAAAGTTTCAATTATTAATTATTTTTTTTTTTTCTCTATATTTTAATTTAACAAGTAAAAAATATTGATTTTAAATTTATTAATAAGCCATACTAATATATAAATTATTTAAATTACAAACTTAAAGTATTTTGCTACTCTAGCCTTAGTGTTTAAATAATTCAAAATAAAATATTCAATATTGTTTGTTTACAATTATAATTTTACATCTAAAAAAAATGCATATAACTAAATAAACAACAATTAGTAATTAAAATATTATTTACTGTATACAATATTAATATTAAGAAACTAACCATCAGGAATCTCAAATTCATCTTGTTCTTCCGAATGAAGGTTTGGATTATTATTTAATTAAAATATTGCAAAATTAAAAATTTATAACAAATATTCTACTTACCATTAACTGGTCCTTTCACTTGTTGTATTGTTTCTTTTTTATAATTATTTTGAATTTCTATATTTTTTTAAATAAATAAATAAAATTTTATTAAATAAATATTGAAATTAAAATTTGGAATCATTTTGCTTACCATCATTTGAATTTATTTGTAGCTTATTAAATACTTTAGATAACCCTTTACTATTATCTAAAATTGAAATAAATTTGTATTATTATTATCTAAAAAATTTAGTATATAAATAAATTATCAATATTTTTAAAATATATTTACACCAGGTAAATATTATAGCCGTTTGTTTGGAAAAAAGATGTTAGTTTTTTTCGAAAATGGTTCCTTTATAGTAAATAATTTTCGAGTCGGTTAAAATTTGATCGCTTCTTTTAAAATATGTAATATACAAGAAATATTATATTAATTATAAAAATAATATTATGCGCATCGAACGTATCTTATTTGAATATAAAATAGTATTTATGGTTTAAAAAAGAATTTTATTTTAATTTGGTACTAATAAATTTACCTACGTATAACAATAACCTCCTTAGTTTTAAAAACTCCGATTTTCTAAAAAAATTTTTATAGCGTAAAGTTGAAGTTGATAGATATATTTAATTGGCGTCGGTAACAGTTATAATATGAATCAATTTAAAAAATATTTTCTAAATTTATTTATAAAAATAACCAATACATCATGATAAATAATGAAAATAATAAAGATTTATAATTATATGATTATATCCAGTGTTAGTAAATCGAAAACGTGATGTATATCTCTTGGTAAAAATTGTCACATTATTAACTCTCCTCTGATTTTATCAACCATGTTAAATTTACTATGTGTGTAATAAATAAGTTACAATGCAATTACATGCTAAACTTTTATTTTATAATAAATATAAAACAATTTCATTTTATAAATGCGAATTCACAATTAGTAGGTAAAAGTGATAAATTATATAAGGTTAGTTTGACCATTTACTCTCGTTTCTTTCGTTAACATTAAGAAATGAACAACAAATTTTTTATCAAAATTTACTCGAGATTTTAGATGATGGAGAATATTATCGAAGCTGGTAATATAAAAAATTATTAAAAGAAAATAACGCAATTTTAATACAAATCAATATCAAACATTTCTCCTGAAATTTTTCAGATAATTTAAGATAATAAAGAATTAAATTTAAACATTGTTGTAAATTTCAATATTTCTAATTCTTAAATCAGTTAAATGATTATAACATTTTGAAAATGATTCATTCTCAGGACTTTAAAATATTGTACTGATTTAATGAAAGGGAACCATATAAGTTATTGAAATCAAAAATGATAGTAATCAATTAATAAATCAAAACCTCATATGACTAGAGAAATCAAATTAAAAACTGTTGATTCAAAAATTATTACATCGTAACATGCTGGATTGATCTCAAAATGGTTGATTTCAACATCATCAATATGTCTTTGAAAGCAGGGATGATGAAGAACGAACAATTTGAAATACTTCACATTCTTTTATGATAAATGTCTTTCGGATTTTCTAAATGACTTTTCATATAAAGATTTTTTACAATAATTGCTACTGAAAATGCTCTATCATATAACAAATTTGATGAAATTTTATCTCGAGAATGTCCATCCCGAGATGCGCGAAGTAATAAATTGTAATCAAATGAAATAACAAAATAGGTTAATAAAAAGTAATTATTTATTCAAAATGATTAATATAAAATAATAAAGCTTACTTCTATTAATATAACGAACCTTCTGGTTTAATGATTTTTGCTCGTTATATTAAGTATCAAATTATATTGTTAGCTATTTAATAAAAAAATTTTATTAACAATTCAACAGTAAAGTATGATAATTCGGTCCAAAGTTCCGTAATGTTTTATTAGAAAATCGAAAATGTTACCTGTTACGTGTTTATTCAATACTTTTGGGGATGAAAGCCGTGATCGATCACGTGATGTACACGTACCTTGATTGGTCGCTGTAAATAATCAGACATTATGATTGGCTTATGATCACGTGAACGAATATGGCTTAGACGACCAGACATTGACGTTACACAGAATACCGTGCTAATTATATAAGGTTGAACGGTTACAAAATTGATTATTTTCATTAATTGTTAACGTTAAAATTGTAAAAAAAAATGAA